CCCCGGGTGCAAAGTAATTACAGTACCGGTGGTGATGACCTGGGATAGACTAGTGACAAGACATTTCAAGGGTTACATGAAACAGCTGGAAGTCACCGACAGACTAATGGCATACATGCAGTCGGTAGTCTTAAAGCGAACCTGCAAGGGTATCTTAGAAGACTGCCAAAGAATGGCTGGACGATGAGGTGGAAGAAATGATGGCTCAGCTTGAAACGCAGCCCGCTAGGCCAGAACAAGGAGCTCAGTTAATGCCTAGATGAGCTTATCTGCAAGGAATTACTTGGATGCACTAGACATATTTAGCACTTCATGGACAAACACATCCAATTTCAAATGTTCACAACAGCGTGGCGCATCCCCACACTGCGGCTGCCGCACTTGGCATTTTGTTTTTTGTCCCGTATTTGCTGATTAAGCTTCCTCAGTGTCATATGCAACCTTGTACTTAGAAAGCATCGCAGAAGCTTCATGGGCACATCATGGCACACTGGTATTTCACATGGTCCTGTAGCATCTAAGATGGAGCTCCTTAAGTTGTGAATGCTGAGGCTGTTGTCGATGACGAGTTTCTCATTTCTCCTGTAGTACCGTTCTGCGGCCTCCAGGAGGGACAGTGTTGCCTTTGAGGGCACAACGAGTGCAATTCTGTTTGAAGTGTATGACTTCAACCTTACAAGGTCGTTGGCATCCTGCATTGGCCGCTCGGCACAGATGGCTGCACTGCAGTTGTTGCACGTCTTGAGATTCTTCTTCACCTGCTGCACGGCATACCCACAGAGGTACTCAAACGAGTCTTGTTCAGCTGTGTCCAGGTCCAAGAGCCCTGGCTGGAGTGGCGGTGGATCCGGGTCTTCTGGTGCACTGTTCTCAAGCCCAACCAGGAGCTCTCCATCAGCCTTGGTGTAGCTGCCATGGCTACTTGGCCGCAAGAACTGAGCCAGCGTTACAGTTCTCAAAGCCGACTTGAACTCTTTGGGCCTTGGCACAGGATTTTTCAGTCGGATTGTTGAAAACAAGTTCTCCAGCGCGTCTTGGCTTAGGCGGGAAAACAGGAGGTACTCGAAGTGATGATCTCCTACCATCATGGTCTGGAGCTCCATTGCGCTTGTGGTGGAGAGGATCACTCCTGTTTGGATGGGTTTCCACACCCTCACCCTGCTGCCAATTGCCAGGTCCTGGAACAGTGTGATGAAGTCCTTCAGGAAGTCGAGGCCAGCTTGTGCTTTGTGAGAGAATGCCACCACCTTGGTTCGTGACGACATCAGCTCGAACCACCTCTGCACTTGCTCGAAGAACCAGGCAGTGGTGAGAGCCTCTTCATCCAGCCGCCCCAGCTTGACAAGATACCGCAGCCCAGCTGCAGTGTCATGATGAAAGAGTGTGTAAGCAGGGCCGACTTTCATTTTTGCGTAGTGCCCAGGACTGATGCAGGCCTTCTTCAGGCGTGGAGCTACACGCATGTCACTTTGTTCATCCAACTCCAAAAGCTGCTCCACTTGCTTTATGGAAACTGTGTCAGTTGGGAGGGCATTCTTCTTTACAACCTCGTCTGGCAGGTAGATGTCTTGTCCTCGAGTAAGGTGGTTCCTCAAGTTCTTAAGCAAATGCGGCACATCTGCCACGAAGTAGAGGCGCCTTGCTGGATCGCACGGATGGTTGGCATAGCACGTTTCTTTTGAATGCTTCCCAACCAATATCCCATATGCTCGCCAGAGCGCCTGGTTTCCTCCGCCCATGTCTGTCACCAAGGCATGAACCTTGATGCCAATCTGCTCGCATCTCCTTATGAGTGTGTCGATAGTTGTCTTCACAGTTGCAGCGCTGAATGAGTTTTCTGTGAACTCATAAGCCACTGTTTGCTTCCATCTTGTGGACATGCCACCCAGCATGAAGACAAAGCCATGTGTGGCCAGACAAGAATCCGGAAGCTTGCCCGAGGATAAACCGATCGTGGGCCTTCCGATGACTGTCCCAGTGGTGGCATCATAGTCCAGTCCCTCGTTCAGCTGGATTTCATCCATCATGAGAACAGCGTGCCGCTCTGCTGGAGACATCAGACCAACCTTTAAACAAGAAGACAGAATTACGTTGTTTTATTAAATGAATTGAAAAAGGAAGTGCCCCTTTGCAGTGTATATTTTTCTATTTAGCTGTTACATATGCATTTAGCAGAAATTCACTAATCATTATTAATTTTATTTCTAAAGCTTGAACTCTTAGATCTTTTCAATATTATAAAACTTGGGCATGCACAGCAACGACGACAACGAAGGCAGGACAGGACACAAACCAGGCCTGTCCTCCCTTCGTCCTCGTCTTTACTGCGCAAGCACAAGTTTTATGAAATTTTCAACAAATTAGTCCAAACAGTCAGTCCTCTTCAATATGTTTGTCGTAGGCTTTTTACTGACTGAACATTTAGCTACAGCTGAGAAAAGAGTGAAGTATAGTGGAGTCTTTGTATAATGCTCGATTGCTTGGGGTAAATTTCACGCCAGCTGATACCCACTTTTTAAATCATACTTCATGAATGACAGTGAAGCGTTGGTGTGATAGTGGTACATGTAATCAGTCACTCAATGCCAGGATAAAAAAACATATGCCGGCTTTCGTTTCTGTGAGTCAGAATAATCTATTTACATTATAGAACTGCAGGATCACATGTCCACCTTGATTACATACCTTCACTTCAAGGGGCTTCATCATTTCTATTAAGATGCCTGGAGGAAACTTGTGCTGTTGGAGCCTTCTCTGCAGGGTGCGCTCAGATGGAAGAGGAGCGACAAGCTCCCGCACCACGTTGTAGCTCTCGGAGCCACACGACAGCCGCACTTTCAGGCCCTTGACAACGGTCCCTTCACTCCAGGCAGACCCTCGTACCGTTTTTCTCGTGAGCCGCAATAACTGGTCTGTATTCAGGTAGCTCTTCAGACCTGAAAATATTTATTGTTAAATGGCTGCTGTGCACATAACAAGACAGCATCATTATCTGAACCTCTAGTTAACATTTACTAATTCTTCCTCTTTATGTGAGTACCTGATTGTACATACCATTTCTCAGGTTGGTATTTTCAGCTTCCAAGGACCGGATTCGCTTTTGTAAAGCACAAAGCTTTCTTTTTAGGCCAGAAACTTGGTCCATCATCCTCCTTTGTACCAGGCCCCCCACACCGCTTATGACAGGAGGCGAGGCTTGTTGTAAACCTAAAAAGAAAAAAAAAAACAAGGCCCAATGTTATTCCTGTCTTTTTCTTCTCAACATAACTGATATTCATTGTTTTATTAAATGATTTCACAAAACACTTTTTTCTTTCCACTGAGTTCTGCCATGTTGGTGCACAGCACCTGCCACTTTTGCCATTTGTTTACACACAGACGCTTAGTTATTGGCATTGTTTAATGTGTTGGTAAAACGCTCAAGCATGGCAAAAGACTGTGTCAATGACAAAACTAAATAAGTACGACCAGTAACGTATTTCAGCCACACAAAACCCAAGCTTAATCTGATTTGTATCTTTCGGAACCACTCCGGCAGTACCTATTAGGACATTTTGGCCGCCAACAGCTCGACCGCCAACTGCATCTATGCTGTACACTTTCAGATGCTGCCGCACGTCTGCTCGCCCCACTAGCAGATGTTGACACACTACAGACTAGATGCACCAGACATCGCAACAGGGGGACATTGAGCTTGATTTTGGCCAACCAGCCAAGCCAAATCCAGAAAGAATGGGCAGGGCCATTGACCTGTGGGTAGCTTGGAGTGGCCCATGACGTCCACCTAAATTGCGTCTTGTTCCATAAATATTGCATTAAAAATTTTCTCTGGCCGATGCAAAAGAACTCTGCCTAGCTGGAAAACACTGCCACTACATGTAGAGAGACATACGGCATCAGTTCATCAACATGGTGTCCAGCAAGATTTTGAGCCGGAAGTAAGTTGCATAAAACTGCCCTACAGGATGGTTCCATCTGACATACTTCCAGCTCGAAGTCTTGCCAGATGCCATATTACTGTGATGAAATCTCAATTAACTCTCCCCGATCTTTCCGTTCATCGCAGAATTTCCCGTCTTTGCCCTCTTCATAAAATTTACTATCGGTAACCATTATGACAGTCTGTCCTCAGCCAGCCCACCTACATCTCTGCAAGACATGATCATTCATGCACGATTCCCCGCCCCAAGACCATTTCAACAGAACGTCAACATTCCCTCCTACCAGAAGCTATTGAAGACTGGAATGGCCTTCCCAATGACATTGTCACCATCACCGTTAATGCTAAATTTAGAATTGTACTAACCAACCACTCCCCTCTGTAATGCCCCTCGGGGCGCTGAGGGTAATTGTAAATAAATAAATAAACTTTCCTCGTATATCTTACTATGAGCAGAGGCAGCACTTCCCAGATCGCTCGAGTTCTTTTGCATTGTGATCAACTTCGCCTGCCAGACTAGTTAAGAACATAAAAGAGTATTGGCTAGTACTCAATTTTTATGCATTAAAGGGACCATGAAGGCAATTTCAAATATTTTCAGAAGGAGGTGTTTTTGGCTCTTATTTCTCTGCCTGAATGAACAATCTTTATATGCCCAAAGGTGGTGTTGAAACAAACTTCCTAAACCGAAACAAACATTCGGACGTGACGTCGAGGAGCACTGTTGGTCTTTGTAGGATAAGGTGGATGCTTAGCGCGGTTTCCGCCGTTTACTATAATCCGCAGCAGTCTGTGAACTGGAAAAATGGACGAAAACACCGCGCTCGCAGGTAAGTCTGAGCTCTGAGCAGCAGTGAACTCACACCGCAGTATGGGAGCTGCTTCTTAAGAGGACGCAACAACTTCACCTCTACACACGACTGTCATTCGTCACTCACCGACACATAATTTACAATAACTAAGCGTCTGCTGAACACTACTGGGGAAAATGTGAGACACTGTTCATCAACATGGTGGAACACGACTTACTGGTAGTCAAAATTTGTTTTGTGAAATTGCCTTATAGAAGAAACGTCTGACCTGTCCAAGGAGCTGTCCCCTGCGGTGTACCTGGCTGGAAGAAGGAGCCTGCTGCCAGGGATGAGGGAACCGCACCTGAGTAGTGAGCAAAGAGCACAGCCAGCATCAGTCCTGCCGTTCACTTCTACACATGACTGTCATTCAATCAGGGGAATGCCTCACCCTTTGAGGCAGTCGTCCCCTGCGGTGCACATGGCTGGACGGAGGAGCCTGCTGTCAGGGATGAGGGAACCGCACCTGAGTAGCGAGCAAAGAGCACAGCCAGCATCAGTCCTGCAGTTCACTTCTACACATGACCGTCATTCAATCAGGGAAATGCCTCACCCTTTGAGGCAGTCGTCCCCTGCGGTGTACATGGCTGGACGGAGGAGCCTGCTGCCAGGAATGAGGGAACCGCACCTGAGTAGCGAGCAAAGAGCACAGCCAGCATCAGTCCTGTCGTTCACTTCTACACACGACTGTCATTCGTTCAGGGAGACGTCTTACCCTTCGAGGCAGTCGTCCCCTGCGGTGTACATGGCTGGACGGAGGAGCCTGCTGTCAGGGATGAGGGAACCGCACCTGAGTAGTGAGCAAAGAGCACAGCCAGCATCAGTCCTGCCGTTCACTTCTACACATGACTGTCATTCAATCAGGGAAATGCCTCACCCTTTGAGGCAGTCGTCCCCTGCGGTGTACATGGCTGGGCGGAGGAGCCTGCTGCCAGGAATGAGGGAACCGCACCTGAGTAGCGAGCAAAGAGCACAGCCAGCATCAGTCCTGTCGTTCACTTCTACACACGACTGTCATTCGTTCAGGGAGAAGTCTTACCCTTCGAGGCAGTCGTCCCCTGCGGTGTACCTGGCTGGAAGAAGGAGCCTGCTGCCAGGAATGAGGGAACTGCTCCTGAGTAGCGAGCAAAGAGCACAGCCAGCGTCAGTCCTGTCGTTCACTTCTACACACGACTGTCATTCGTTCAGGGAAATGTCTTACCCTTCGAGGCAGTCGTCCCCTGCGGTGTACATGGCTGGACGGAGGAGCCTGCTGCCAGGGATGAGGGAACTGCACCTGAGTAGCGAGCAAAGAGCACAGCCAGCATCAGTCCTGTCGTTCACTTCTACACACGACTGTCATTCGTTCAGGGAGAAGTCTTACCCTTCGAGGCAGTCGTCCCCTGCGGTGTACCTGGCTGGAAGAAGGAGCCTGCTGCCAGGAATGAGGGAACTGCTCCTGAGTAGCGAGCAAAGAGCACAGCCAGCGTCAGTCCTGTCGTTCACTTCTACACACGACTGTCATTCGTTCAGGGAAATGTCTTACCCTTCGAGGCAGTCGTCCCCTGCGGTGTACCTGGCTGGAAGAAGGAGCCTGCTGCCAGGAATGAGGGAACCGCACCTGAGTAGCGAGCAAAGAGCACAGCCAGCATCAGTCCTGTCGTTCACTTCTACACACGACTGTCATTCGTTCAGGGAGAAGTCTTACCCTTCGAGGCAGTCGTCCCCTGCGGTGTACCTGGCTGGAAGAAGGAGCCTGCTGCCAGGAATGAGGGAACTGCTCCTGAGTAGCGAGCAAAGAGCACAGCCAGCGTCAGTCCTGTCGTTCACTTCTACACACGACTGTCATTCGTTCAGGGAAATGTCTTACCCTTCGAGGCAGTCGTCCCCTGCGGTGTACATGGCTGGACGGAGGAGCCTGCTGCCAGGGATGAGGGAACTGCACCTGAGTAGCGAGCAAAGAGCACAGCCAGCATCAGTCCTGTCGTTCACTTCTACACACGACTGTCATTCGTTCAGGGAGAAGTCTTACCCTTCGAGGCAGTCGTCCACTGCGGTGTACCTGGCTGGAAGAAGGAGCCTGCTGCCAGGAATGAGGGAACTGCTCCTGAGTAGCGAGCAAAGAGCACAGCCAGCGTCAGTCCTGTCGTTCACTTCTACACACGACTGTCATTCGTTCAGGGAAATGTTTTACCCTTCGAGGCAGTCGTCCCCTGCGGTGTACATGGCTGGACGGAGGAGCCTGCTGCCAGGGATGAGGGAACTGCACCTGAGTAGCGAGCAAAGAGCACAGCCATCATCAGTCCTGTCGTTCACTTCTACACAGGGCTGTCATTGGTACTTTTATAAGGAATGCTCATAATTGTGGAGGGAGCTGCTCCCTGCAGCATTATTCGAGAATGGGCATTAAGCTCTTATATGTTCTGTGTGCAATTTCATGCAAAAGCAATATTGCACTCTTTGGCATTGACTTACTTTGTTTAAGCAGGGAGCGCTGACCAATGGTTCTTATTAGGATGGAGCCTGCCATGTTCGATTTTGGTGCCGAGACTTGCAGTGAACCTGTAAATTTTGTAGGTACAAAATGGAACCCCAGAATATGGTGCATGCAGCAGACATTTGAATGGCAGAGTATTCAATGGTCACAGGAATGCATTTGTTTTGAGAGGGACCAATAGAGACAAAAAGAAATTGTCGTCCTGCCACCAACAGACCCACCTCACCAACAGTCGGCGCATGCATGAAGCCGCCATAACTTTAGTTCACAATAGGTAGACGGTGGTGCCCTAAACGGCTTGTGCTGTCTCACGCGTAGAGTTCCAGTGTTTCGGGCACGTGCAGAAAGACTGAAGTTCCCTCAATGCATTGCGACAGCGGTGGCGCGTAGTCGAACTGGGTGGTGAGATCGGTCTATAGCATGAATTCCGTATGCCCCACCCCACTGGTGTTAAGGATGGTTCTGACCTAACATAGTGCGACACTGTTAATGCAAAGAAGGGATGAAAAATGTTCATATGGGGCACAAAGTTGCACCCTATTATTTGGTGCCAGCATTTACTAATGCAAAGTAAAATGAAAGAGTGTCGCAGTTGTACTCGCACTAACAATGTCATGCAGCATTTGTGTCTGGGGCACAAGCTCCCAGTCGCAGCTTTGCATCTCGCTGAAGTGGGCGGCTGTGAGTATGGGCAAGGCTCGTGCTGAAGCCCCGAATTCCATCAGCACGCAGATAAATTCCACTCACGCTGTTCATTACAGCAGGGACCAGGGGCGGATTTAGAGGGGGGGGGGGGGGCGGATGTTCTGACCCCCCTCTTGATTTTTGCATGTGTAAAATTTAGGACGTGAAACGAGGGGGAGGGGGTTCCTAAACATATGGTACGCTGACCAACACCTCACCCCCCCTCAGGAAATTCCTGCATCCGCCCCTGGCAGGGACGCATGTATGGTGCAAATCAACACTTACCCAAAGCACAGAAGAGCATGCCGACATAAATTCCAATACTTTTTTATGATGTCCTGGGCACACACTACACATATACGCATGGCAGGATAGTCAATTGCTGCAGGAATGCCCAAGAAAGCACATACCACATTTGAGATAAGCAAATACAGGCCGAAAAAGAAGGAACGGAAGAATTAGCCCAGGGTATGCCTGGCACACGCTCGAGTTAAGGATGATTGTGACTGCATGTCGCTGCATGTGCCCGGCTACTAAATGCTGGAATTGCATGTGACTCACGAACTGGAGGGCCCGCCTGAGGCACAGACTCCTGGTCGCAGTTTTGCGCTTTGCTGGATTGGGCTGCTGTCTGCGTGGGCAAGGCTTGTGCTGAAATTGTAAACTTTGTCAGTATGCAGTTCAATGCTACTTGCTTTAATTCATCACCTTGGACAAGCATATTCTCAATAATCTGTGAAGGAGGAAGTACAACACCTGTGAGAGCAGCAGTTGAATCCAGGGATGGAAGCGTCTGGATGCTGTCTTCCTCCTGCATTGGCTCCCCTGCTTAAAATAGGTAGCATTTTAATACTAAATCTAGCAACCAAGTGACTGCAAATTCACCATCTCTGACTGCGTCGACTTACCTTGGATGTTTCCCACTTCCCTTTCTCGTGGTGGTCTTCGAACTGCCTTTGGCAGCCTATGGCTAAACTTGGTAGGGACAGCGTCCGGTTTGAGTTTTTTGATGCCATGGCTCTGCCAGATCCGACGTTCAAACTGATCTGGTGTAAAATGGTCCTGTCGAGAATGAACAGGGCTAACTTGCAATTCACGGGACAGTGCACTGAGAACACTAAATAATTCGACTTTGTTTGGAGGTAGAGAGCGTCACACTGTTAGTACAGAAGAGTGATCGCCGCTTTTTTCTCGATCGGAATCAAAAATTCGTCATCAAAACCGCTAGTGCGGTGGGAAGGGCATATTTGGGACGCTAACCTAAGCGGTAAAATTTGGTGCAAAGCAACACTCCATGGAAGTAAAGTACGTAGAGACACTGATGCTCTGTCCGCGCTAACAGTGCCGCGCATTGTACGCCCGATGTATCCCCGCGCGCGGACAGTATGAGCTGGAACACCCGATCCAACCTTTTTCTGCGACTCCCACAAGCTCCATTATTCCTCAACTTCGCTTTCTATTCCTAGTTCGGGCCACAGCTCTCTCAAAAACAGGTGGTAAGCCAAAGAAGCATGAAAGGCGTTTTCGGCTCATACTGTCCTCGGTAGTAGCTTTTCGTGTTTCCTAGAGGTTCACTGCGAGACACTCACAGCTGAAGCGGCTAATCGGTGGCTTCATCCATTTATATCGTGTCCCTTAAAAACTCAGATTACGCGAAAAACTTTGCCGGCGAACAACCGGGTTTTCGAGTCAAGAACAGGCTAAAACGGCAGAGCACCGATGCCGCATTTCAGCTGAGAACGAGTTCGGCAGTCAGGCGCGTCAGGAAAAACATTGCACGTGTATCTATGTGAACATGTGTGGAAGAGGTAACTAGGTCAGAAATGCTCACCTCACAAAGCTTGCTGCTTCTGGTAGGGACAAAGTGTTTCCTCCCAATCATGTGGAGCCATGCCTTCTGCCTCTTCAGATCCGCTTTCCGAAGCGGGACGGCGAACAACTTTTTGCCACTACCAGAACTCTGGCTGCACCCAAAAGCGCAGCACCCCGTCATCTAACACAACCACTTGCTACTTGACTTGCCTCATTACAATCCAGAAACACCAGGACGTCGAGCTAAAGTCGTCGGCGAGTACCGCGAAACACGCGGGCGGACGGAGCACGGAGCAGCCGAGCAGCGAGCAGCTAGGAAGCAAATGGCGGACGGAAGTGGCAAGAATTCCGGAAATCACGTGACATCGCTCTCCTCCAATAGAAACAGATGTCGGCGCGGCAAAGAATGACGGTACTTGTAAAACGCAGTGAAAAAACATCGAGGGACTTTAGCGGGGACTACCTCTCCTCCACGCGCCCGAGATGCCGAGAGAGAGAAAAGTGGAAAGGAGGTGACTGCCGACTAAATTGCGTCTGGCGCAGTCAATATTGCTCTAAAAAAATTTTTCTTTTCGCGTAAAATTCATTTTTCGACACGCGTGTCTCAACCAGACTGTTGTTGAAAAACTTTTTTCTTCTTTTCAGGGGCCCTTTAAGGAAAAGGGGTGGTTTTACCGAAGTAAAGATTGCCACAACGGAGCGCAACGCAGACCGGGAAACGACCTACAACAACAATGCAGACTTAAGCGTCAATAAAATAAAAAAAAAAAAAAAAAAAAACAACGAAGTGGACACACAAAAACAATTTTTGTTTTTTGTATCTTTGACTCTGCTACCGCAAAGCGTCAATGTTTTCTTTCGTTTATTTCTTTTTGTCATGAGTCCGTCACTTATGGCGCATTCACACTGGAAGCGGATCCGCGTTTGCGAAGCGGTCGCGGATGCGGTTCGCGAGCGACCCCGTTCAGACACACCGAGGCGGCTGGCGGTTTCTCGGCGATATCACGTGATCTATTGAGACTTGCGTTTGGCAACCCTGTTTTACAATCCAAAATCCACTTTAATTCAAGATCCAAACCCAAAGTTTTGCTATTTTGGCACTCGGAATATTTTTTCCGGGATATTCGCGCGCATCTCGAGTTCAGGCAGCGAAAAAAGAAGCATGGACCCGCCAAACTCGCCTGTGATTCCCTCGACTTCGCCCACAAGCAAAGCCCAGCTATTCGCGACTCCAGCGACCTATAGGGGGCGCTACCACCAAACAAACATGGCGGCTGAGTCCAGGTCGCGGCGGCTCGGCCGGGCCGCCTGAACAGGTGGCGCGTTCAATTTAACCGATTTTCTTTTGTTTAATGCCCAATTTTATAGGTATTTGAACTGAGACGGTTAAGTGTAGCCGGTGCAGATAAACTTGCAAAGCATAGTTTTGTTTCGCCGGTGTTTTTTTGTTTTTTTCGTGTCAAACTTTCGTTTCGGAGATTTCGTTCAAAACCGAAACTATGGGCTCGGGAGAGACGGTAATATACTAATCAGTTTTGATCATCTAAGGAAAGCGGCGATGACTATAGAATTGTTCCACAGAGAGCAACTTTTCAGCTAACTCGCGTGCCTCGACCATGCGACTTATCTGTCCGCGAAATCGAGCTTTTGTGCGTATCCGCGTTTACGAAACAGCTCCAGTCGTCTGCTCGGCCAACAACACAGGCTGCAGGAAAATCACGAAAATTAAGCATCCGCTTCTTGAGCCAAGGACCATGTAAACCCGCCGCCGCCCTACTAAGCAGCTGATACTTGTATTTCAATTCAGGTTTTAGTAGCAATCGAGAAGTCATTTTGACGAGCGGGTTATGTATTATATTACGTACTATGGGGGGGGGGGGGGGGGGGTCCCACTAACGCGATATTAGTATATCCTTCGGGTTGAAATATGAGCTTAGGTGACTAGCTATTAGGTGAGCTGCTGAATAAAAGTATATTTGACAGACGGAGACATACTACTTAAACTTAGCCAAATGGTTCTATAGCCGGCAGCACGGAGACAAACTGAAGAGAGTCTTCATTGAAGATCCACGCAGAACCTCTCTGCATTGAACTTTGCTTCGAATTCTGAACGGAGAAAATTAGTATTTTTTTGTGGCCGGTCAACCTAATCAATGTAGACGTATACAGCCGCTGGCTTCGACGTCCTCGTAATATAAATATTGGAGGCGTGATAGGTCAAAATGCCGTGACAGCATCTAATGTTGCGAGACTTGTCTCCCACCTTTTGAAAACAGATAATTTCCCTCATTCATCATTTGCAGCGAGCAAGTTTTCCTGAATCAAGTAATTGCGAAATCAGCCCAACTCCTTCAGTGTGGTCCAGAGGCTTTTTCGGCGAAAAGCAGCCAAGATGAATAGCCAACGCACCGACCGGCGTGGGTGGCTCAAACTTGAAGCCAACCGAACACAACCAAACTCAAGAAAAGCAGCTATCGAACCTTCCCATTTACTTGACTGCAACATTGATGTTCCCTCCAGTATCAGTTACCAAGCAGTCGTCACTTTGAATGTGATTCGAGACAGACAAGAAATCAAAAAGTTTTTCCGTGATTCCTCCCCATCGAAGAAATCGAAAGCACGCGACCGTGTGCTGTGGAGTAAACGGGCTTTCAAACACGTAATAGAAAAAAACAATCTACTGAGGCTTCACCACACTAATGATCACTCTAATGATCACTTAAGAAATATTCGGACCTTCGTCAAATTACATTGTTCGCCACCGCGCCGACAACACGTCTCCGCGAAAGCCACCAGAGACGCGGAGGGGCGCGGAGCGACCTGGACCGGCTGGTTCCCGGTTTTCCCGCTTGGCGGCGTCCGTTTTGCTGGAGTCGCGAATAGGCGCGCCTAGTGCCACTAAATAAGCTACGCTTCAGAGTAACGACACTTGGCCATATTGTGGCTTAAAATCATGGTTGCCACTTATCTGAAGCTTTATCTGAAATCACAGGAAACGCTTTTCCGTCCTCCACAAATGTTTAAACAGTCCCCGACAGAGAAAAGCAATATTACATGAGCTTCCTAACACCGAATCGAATGCTGAGGAAGTCGCACTTTTGAATCATGACGATCTGCAGTTGCGTCTGCTCTGCACAAGCCCCAATATGGCGGCGCCCACAACAATGTCGGGGAACGGAGTGCCGGTACTCTAAGCGCAGCTCATTTAGTGGCTCTAGGCGCGCCTTGCTGACTCAGAACAGGATGCCCCCGACCTTTTCTTCGAAGTGGACCTTTCCCGCATGGATAGCTGACCTTGTTTTCGGAATAGAAGGCCAGTTCCCCCCCCCCTTTCGTTGTTGTTCGCTCTTATCATTTTCGAAGTTGTGAGCGGTAGGGTGGACCGTAGTGCGGGGGAATATGTTCGGTGCTAGCCGTTCCCGGCTTCGTTGGTGGCGGACTCTCCTTTCGTCACTCGCTCGTCAATCGAGTCTACTGTTTGTTTGACATTAAGCTCAAATAAACGCCGTATGGATTACCTATGCATTGTCTGGTACGTACACTTTAGTCCTTGAGTAGGTTCCCTTTATTTATTTCATTAGTAGTAGATGTTACAGGTCGAGCTAGCGCAGGTACCCTGCCCCCTCCGCGGTAGTGCGTTGGCTACGCAATCAAGCTCACGACGTCTCTATCGGCCTTCGTGGTGGTCATGCACGGTGTCGAAAGCTTTCAATAGTTCACGCGACTATCCCAGAGGGTAGAAAAGCTGACATTTCGGTCGATCAGGGGCGGGCACCGACGTTCTACAGGCAGAGATTAACAAGGCAGCGAGCGTGGGCTGTGCACCAGGAATAATAAAAAAACTCTTACCCGAACCAAATCACCGGTGCGAAGCCCGCTAAAATTACGAGTCAATTCTTTTCGCGGTGGATTCAAGTGACAGATGTGAACATCAAGTTTCTCCGATGATTTGCCGAAAGCTGACTACAGCGCTACGACTACAGTGCCTTCGACGCCTCACCAGCGACAGGTGCCATCTTGTTTCGAAAGTCACTGACGTCACGTCAGCGTCGCGTTGTGATTGGTTGCCGCTTTGCGGTTCGTGAAAGCGGTTGGAAGAAATCGGTCGCGAAGCGGTTGGCAAAAACGCGCTCTAACCGCTCGATCCTAGCCGCTTTGCGGTTGAGAACGCGCGGATCCGCTTCGCGAACGCGGATCCGCTTCCAGTGTGAACGCGCCATTGTTGCTCTCGCGAACAGTGTCTGTAAGCGAACACTGATAAGCAGAAAACAGGACAGGAAACGAACTAGGAGCTGGATGACCTCTCAAAACGCCAACAAAGCGTCCCCAAAGGTTTGAATGCCTTTCTGAACGCAACCTACTTAAAGAAGGTGCGACCACTGCCTACATTATGTGGGTTCTCGTTGTTATCCATTCTTTCATATCCGTATCCCAAGTTCGTTTATGGTGAACTCCCATATAGGAAATGTGGATAGTAGTTAGAAGACGCGTCTAAGGTACGCCGCAGGACGTGACATTCAGCGATGTCACTATTGGCGAGGCGCTCTGACCCGTTTGTTGCCCCCACACCTCGGTGTTTACCCAACACAAGGCCTGTGCACATTCCCACAGGCCTTGTGGGAATGTTCATGTTATCTCCTTTAATAGAGCGCGGGGGACGGCAGTGTATTGTAAAAATATTCATAATAAACGAAGTGCCGGATCTCTCCGGAAAGCAGTAGTAAGAGGATGCTAGCTTGAGGGCTTTTGTGCTCCGCTGGGCACCGTGCATGCTGCATTGTTGAGGCAGGCTGGAGTGGTAACAAAAGAGACACCCTCCCTCTCACCGGAGAACACGAACTCCAGCCGAACGCTGACGGTGCGTTCGGTTGTGTCAGCCGAGTGCTGAGTCATTATATTCGTTGTCCCCATCCGTGTAGTTCTGAAGTTTACCGCTTGGGGCGCCAGTGTCTGACCTCCTTCCCAATAGCTAAAGCGACCAAATAAATAAAAAAAAAAAAAACGCGTGGCCGAATGGTTACTGCGCTTGGCCCCCGCGCGGAGGCTCCGGGATCGATTCCAGGGAGCGGACTCCTCTTTTATTTATTCTTTCAACTTGGCATTCTCGTATGTTCGAGAACCTTGTCGTTTGATTGAGTTACGAATGTTCTTCTCGCCGAACGTTCTACGCCGAATGTTCCAGAAACCCACGCGGGTACAAAATTTGCTCCGAGTGGCGGTCCGGAGTCAGTCTCGCCCCAGCGGTCGATCCTGCTATTTCACCAACATCGACGCCTGTGACGCTAGCCTTTTTCTATTGTTTTGGGCACA